AGCTTGACAGCTTCCCTCACCGCTGGTGTCCACCAGCATTTTCGAGGGTTGATGCCGGAAGATGCACCGACAACCTTGCAGCCACAGCTCTGACTAGCTGCCTCAACAACAGAGGCACGGAACATGGTTCACTCAGACTCATTGCCCCCCCCCCTCGGAAAGTGTTCGAAGCTCTCCCGGAGAGGGGAGTTAAAGCTCCTTATCATGGGGGACTCTGCCAGACCTTCCCCCCTGTCCGGCATCCATCCCTTCAACCACACAGCTGCTTTTTTATCACCAATGCCCCAGTCTGCATGCTGCTTGGCTGATGGAAAACACCTGTGCCGCTGCTGTGGGTGTGTCCGGGTATGAGTGGTAATGTCACCTCAAAAAAAAAATTAAAAAAATCCAAATTAGAAAAATAAGACATGAAATTAACTTCAAAAAGAAAAAAAGCCACATTACCACATTATGCTTCAACATGGTGTTCATTATGGACAATTAATGATGAGCACAGAAGTCCAACAACAGAATACCACTCGAGTTCAGGTCACTTGGGCCGTTCCTTCCAACCACGCCTGCTCAGGTCTCACTGAAGAACAAGGGAGTCCCCAGGAGGGGCACTCTCCAGTGGCCCTCCTGAAATCAAGTCTGTGACTTGATTTAGAGTTTTTTTAACAGTTCAGCAGTCTGATGGCAGTGGGGAAGAAGCTGTTACAGAGTCTGTCAAACCTGCATCAATGCTGTGAAGCCTCTTCCCAGAGGGCAGCATTGATAACAGTCCATGGTGAGGGTGTGAGGGGCCGCTGATGATGTTATGGGCTTGAGATATGCAGTGCTGGGATGAAATGTCTTTCATGGTAGGAATAGGAGCCTGATGATTATCTCTGCTATTCTCACCACTCTTCTTCTAGTCTGAGATGTTGCAGCCATCACACCACACAGTGAGACAGCTGGTCAGAACGCTCTCTGTGGTGCTGCTGTAGAAGGTGGTGAGGATGTGTGGGGGCAGGTGGGCTCTCCTCATCCTCCGCAGGAAGTACAAGCGCTTCTGTGCCCTTTTGACCAGTGAAGTGGTGTTTACAGTCCAGGTGAGGTTGTCTGTGATGTGCACCCCATGGTATTTGGTGCTGCTGATCACCTCTACAGCTGAGCTGTTGATGAACAGTGGAGTGTGGTTAGGCCGGTTCTTCCGGAAGGCCAATATGATCTCCTTCGTCTTTTCCATGTTCAGCATCAGGCTGTTTTCTTTGTACCAGTGCACCAGCTGCTCCACCTCCTCTCGGTAGTCCAGGTCCACGTCTGCAAACTTCGCAATGTGATTGGTAGTGAACCTGGGGACGCAGCTATTCTAGCTGTTTGGTGAGAGTAACTGTAGAGTTTGATCATAATTCTGTTTATTCTGATTGTGACTAGTTTCTGTCT